CACACAAAAACAATTAAGATATTTGCTGGTTGCTCACATAGTTTCACAAATAATATTTGAAATTTGAGTCGATGTATGTATCCAGCATTGATTATTAGTGTTTTTCAAGACAATCTATCCATAAACTATTTTCCGTCAACATTCTTTTATCAGAAATGTGTAGATATCCGAAGACACAGCATTCATTCACACTCACACATACACAAGTGATATACAAACGCGACTAATGGTGTGTTATAAATGTAAGACGATTCCGTTTTGTGTAGACGGATGAATAAGCTACCAAATGAAAATGTATTTCATTTATAAATTTTAAGAGATAAGATAGTATTCGTTTCAAGATGTTTTACATAGTTTTCTGTGGTTTTGCTTCGTGTTCTGAAGTGATTTTTTAAAATTCTTTCGTTTCTTGACTCGGCCGTTTTTGTTGAGTATATCACAGATGGAGTTAAACTACTAGCAAGCAGCCTTGTGATCTTTTAATTAAGGAAACTGTTAAATGTTTCAAATGATTTTATGGCGTACTAAAGATGATTCCGATTATTATGCCACAGTAGATCCACGTTTTCACGTTCTAATATATGCTAATGTTGTACACGGTCAACGACAAACAACGTTGTATTAAGAAGCACGAGTTAAAACTTGAAAAGATATATTGTTAACGAAATCGAATTTTAAAACACGTGAGGTGAACGAAAAAGTGCATAACAGGTAAAATATATGTATAGCAAACGAAAAGCAATATTCAATAATATAATGGCAAACATTCAAGAAGCATAAGTAAAATAACTTTCTCTTAGCGTAAATCATGCATACATGAATCAGTTTTATAATCGTACAGTCAGGCTTAATATAGGGGTGCTACAATCTTAACACGGGAATCAGTGAACGTTCTGGTTGAGCTAAACAGTTTCTTCCCTTTTGTGTTATTAAGAAGCCAAGTTATTCGGTAGATGGAGACTACGTGAAGGAGACTTGTAAAGTTATATTTCCTTAAGACTAACAATAAAACCATTTTCAAGCATATGATTGACTCCTTTGCGTGGCACCTGCCTAGCGACGATAGGAGAAGACGATACAAGACTGCGTCATCTCCTTGTTTGTATACTTCATCAGAGCGATTCATCGTTACCTAACATTTAAAAAAGCTTCGAGAAAATCAGATGATAACTTCAGAACAGAGTGAAGTTGTATAACGTACATTTTTTAAAGGGATATTTATATCTTTCCCATATGAAAGGACTTGTATGATTGTTTAAGTCAACAAGTTCAGATATATCAGGAGAACTGTGATTGAAAGGTCGTTTCCTCTCCGTTCAGTGGTCTTACACTTCGACTTTAAAGTTGTGCGTCATTAGAAGTTTATCACATGCAGCAGTACGTGATAACATGTACGGCTGTATACTTATTTGGCAAATGGCCCATTAGTAAAACTACATATACATCTGTAAACACTAGAAGTTGCGTAGTCGTATCAAAGAGGGAAAGAAATAACAAGAAGATTAGAGCAGTCATTTGCTCTTCATGGTCAAAACTGATAGAGCTTTCTCGATTTGTTTACTTCATGCGACCCACCTTTAAATATACAAGAGGGGCTAATGATTTAACAGAGCACTTTCAGATTCTCATTATCTTGTTACGACATTCAACATACATGGTAATTCAACTTTGAAGCGTAAACCGCCTAAACTGAGGCTGACATAATGCTTTGAAAATGCCATTTGACTCTATTTATCCCGGCTCACTTTTCAGCCAAGTGTGATTTGCTAGACACGCGTTCAACCTCAGTTTATTACTGTCCAACATTATAAATCCCCAACGTGAAGAGCGTCTAAGCTGAAAACAATAAGAAAAAATCAACAGTTTTTAGTCAATATTTTAGGATCCAGTGAATTTCTGATAATCTACTGGTGTACATTTCTTCAGGCGTATATGATTTGTTATCTATCAACATGAAAGATGCATCTTGACAATTGTTACTAGTCAACAGTAGTGTCTATAGTCTCTATAAATAGGATTTTTTAAAATTTGGTTATTTTCTGACCCACAATTGAAAGTAAAGCTTTTTTTAAAACCGAAAGTTAAAAGGCATAATTACAACTATGGTGGTAGAACGAGTTGGACTTATATGTGATACAGACAAAAGCTCAACAATAATATGCCTGAAGAAACCATCTATGTTCATTATGTATAGTCACCTTTGATTGTATGCTTCACTTTCACTTACAATACACTTGCTAGCTAATCTAAAGTATAGGAGTGTCACGGTGTGGAGATTTGATTTATTTCAAAGTCGATTTTGCCAAGAACTGCCATCACTTTTACGATTATTGAAAACCAAACAGTATCGAACATCTTGATTTAGTCCGTAGGGCAATCAGGGATACATACTGCTGAAAGGTTCCAAATTAGGACAAAATTACTGTTGCGTACTCTTCAGTTTTCAGCAGTCCTATAAGGGATTTCGATTTTTGTAAAGTCTACCTTGAAAGCTGAGATATATTTCTATATTGCAATGATTACTGTTGGCGAATAATTATGAATGAATAAAGTGAATCTTTAATTAATGCTTTTAATTTCTGTTCACTAACATACACCCGACACCTAATAATACTTGGTCATACACGCGTAAACCGTATCATTTTTACCATTTGATATAATTAGGCTTGAATATCTAAAGTTCTGTCAATACACTGAAAGAAAAAGTAGAGTTATTCCTCTCCCCACGTAATTTGTGTAGCATTTGTAGTGATAAATCACTCCCCAGAATTATCAGCTTACAGATTTTATCATTCAACACTGAGTTTGAACTTCACGATTTAAGAAATCCGATTAGGCTGGAGGTAAGTGGTCAAGTAGGCACGCTGTTGTGTTACGTTTAGCTGTTCATACACGCAACTCAGCTTTCATTGCCTCTGTACACTTCCGCTCCCAAAATATATTTCGTATTTTGAACGATCAATCTGATTTGACTCCGGTCTAAGTGGATCAAGTACTTTTGGAGTTGTATTCTCATGTGATGTATCTTGCGAACTCATCGATATCTTTCACCTTTAAAAAAAAAAACATCAAAGCCTAAAGAATTGCCAGATTTATTCTGAACTACGTATTCTTCTGCACTATCACACAATAATCTTCATCGAAAGAATATCATCTCGACTGAAATTTTTAAGTAATATATATATATATATATATATATATATATATATATGAAGTTAGTATATTTCTAAAGAAAATTTCATTCTACATTTGGGTAAAATGTAGGAAACGCTACACCCTTCGAAATACGTTATGCCCTGTTACTACTCCAAACCAAATATACCTCCGTTAGTTTTCTGAATTTTTGTAGCATATGCAAAAATTCTGTTGCACTACTACCTACGTTGTATCCTAAATGCATAAGCTAACAAACAAAACACTGTTTACAGATTGTGGGAAAAAATACGGTCGTCATAATCTGACCGTTGACCGGGAATAGTTCTGCAACTTTCGCACTCCCTTGTTAAATACTTACAAATTCTTCTCAGCAGGAAACGCCATTGTACTACAGTAAAAAAATATTTCTTTTTGCACGTAATTTACTTTCTATGGAGTGATATTTAGGTCAGGAGTCGCTATTCATATTCTAAACAATGGTATTTTTTCAGTAGTTAGTTGCATAATTTATAGTTTTGGCCTTCATTCTGGTGTCATTAATGGTAGTAATATTAGGGAAGTTACCAATAAGCTAATCCGGTTCCTAAATGGTAGTAGTAATATTAGTCAAATGTCCTAAAGGGATACTGAATCTTTTCTGTTTAAATCATTTTATATTTTATCCGACAATGAATTCCCACATAACAAAAATACGAGACATCCAAACTATTTGCTGTAATTCATTCAGTTTGTTGAGTAAGATAACATGTCATGGAGGTCAGTCCTAGTGCCAATAAACTTAATGAACTATTTAATTAACAAGGTAGACGAGAGTTAATAAAACCATAAAGAGCCATGCAAAGTGGAATACAATTATTTTCCCAGGACGGATGTAGAAAATAGCACCAAAATAAATATAATCAAAAATATAACAGTTTTGTTGACACCATAGTCTGTTTCATAGAAAAAGAATTCTAAGAAATTTAAAGTGAGATTCTTAAAATAGATAAGGTTAAAACAATATTCTAGCCTCAGAAGCTGAATAAGAAACTAGTCTTTGTTACTGAAAGAAATCATGTGTTTTGTTTGTACTTAAACGATGATTTTGACGTCAGCCATACAAATCGAAGTTGTTAACAATTTAATCAAAGAAGGTTCAAGTAAATCCAAAATACTGGAAATTACTAAATTAAATAGTTCGCAATGAAGATTGGTCAGGCTCATGTAGACAAAAAACAAGAAAATGGAACCTAACCAAAGTTCATAAGAAACAAATTGGCATCAAATAAGTAGATACTTTTAAACTGAACCTTTGCAAAAACATCGTAAACTATATGTTACAGCATCAAGTTAGAATGTTTTCCACATTTACAGGAAATTCTCCAAATCGCAACATTTGAGGAGAATGCTAGGCATTCATATAAAGCAGTTTTCACTCTAAATACAAGTGATGGAATTATTCATGAGTGATTCCCTTGGGGAGAAGACTATTGCTCTGAGTTTATAATTACTTTGCTTCTAGCCACCTTACAGTAAGCAGAAGTAAGATATGATATCAAGTTCCGTAACATACTTGCTGACTGGACTGTGGGATTGATAAACAGAATTTCGCATACTTTGCCACTCCAGCACAGTTATCGCTTCTTAGTGACCAAGCAATATGCTAAGTATTTATATGCACAAGATGATGATAAAAACGAGTGACAAATTATTACATTAAATGATTTATTTGTACATAAAATATGCAATGCATACAGATTTACCATCTCAATGTAATAAAAACACAACCAATGATGTGTTATTTCCTATCGTACTTTTCTGATTTATATAGGGTGTAATCATGTTTTTTATTCTTGCGAAGTGAATTAACGGTAAATAGTTAGTCCCGAAGGACTTTTAGTATATCCATTCGGTCCTTCAGCATGCGTTTCAGGTTTACTAGGTCTCCTTTGCACATACAAATAAATTGGACCTTCATCCTTGAAAAGATTATCTGCTAACAATGGTTCACTGCTAGGTAATGGTACAGGGTTTTCTCCTATATCATATCTGGATGTTGAATAAATGCTTCTCCTATGATTTGGGTGTGAATTTTTTCCTTGGTACTGTAAAACAAGATAATCTGTTGGAGACGGTGAACGTCCTGCATGTGATCTTCTATGTTGACGAGAATATGATGAATGAACTGGGGAACTAAGTGCACGTGATGTAGACGTGACCTTAAAATACGGGGGTATACCTGTTTGACTTGAATAGCTATCTCTTATAGGGTAATCCTGAATTGTTCTGAAATTATCACAGGAATGAGAATGACTGCTTGGTATCTCACTTATTCTACGTGGTGATCCCCGATAGTACCTTGTATTAGCTCTACACGTATGACAGTTACCTTCCTGTTCATCGTCTTCGTTGTGTTCATCTTCTTCTGTTGATGTACAGCCATTATTATGAGCATCAATTCCATAATCTAATGTGTGACTAGATATACTTGTTCTTAATTTTCCCAAAGGATTCTTATTTTGAGTAAGTTCAGCTATTTTATTTCTATCCTCCATTGTATTCACTGTATACGTTTCATAAATTCGTCGTTGTTTTTCATCATTAAGCGCTAGCATAAATACATTTGGTAAATTTGAGAAAAAGTAGATAAATTTAATATCTTGATAAAATACTTGATCACGAAATAACTTTGAACGACTTTTCTTTTCAAATCTTATCCTATCACTTAAACAATATAAATAACCATGATTACGCTTTTTACGTAGATGTTTTGGTAGCAATTGATTAGCTTTTCCATCGGAGAATCCTGCAGGATCAATAATTTTTGAATAACCTCTTCCTTTGAATACTGTTCTGAATAAAATCGATTGTCCAGTGATTGGATCATTTGGTAAATTTTCTACAATTCTTGGAACAAGTGAACCAGAACGCTTTCTATTATAGTCCACAGACATTTTAACAGGATTCTTTTTGTTCTCCAATTTTCTTTGCAGTTATAGTGTACTAATAACGCATTTAACTCAAAACTTGGATTAAAGAAAAATTTGGAGTAAACAAACGTAGACAAATCAGAATAAGAATGTATGTTTGATTTTTTGTGTACACACAATATATTCAAACTGCTAAAGGGATGAGAGTTTTGTTTTCAAACCAGAGTCTTAGATAACACCACCCACTCAAAATCATGTTTACCTTTCATAGAAAGGTGTTTCATCTCGCGTTCCATAATTGCTTACAAAAATGTTTGTCGATAAAAGTGTTGAGTAGAAAGTGAACGATTACTTTGTTGATAGTTCAGATAAGAGAAAACATCACTGTCTGTGTGCACAATGATGTAAAGAGTCATGAATCACATAAACATCTGTAAATCATTTCCATTTATTCGAAACACAATGTAACCTTGAAGTTTACGACAGTCTTCAGTTATATAGAACATAATGTTGTCAATGTTCATTCCAACATAGTTGGTAAATAATATAAGATGCATGATAATGATGCATATTTTGTGTGGCTACACTCTGAAAAAATTAATTTATTCACTAAATGAAATGGTAGGGAAATAAATCAATTGGATTTTAATAATACTATAAGGATAGCAATCAATTTGTGAAGTTTTGCTCACATAAAAGATTGAATTCGGGTCTTCTTGATTTGATAAGTGTCTGGTTCCTTCAAATACGTACAAATAATTCAGTTCAAGGGTTTAAATAGGAATATTTCAGTCATCGAAAATAAAGCGAAACTAATCGAAGCCTATAACGATAAACAGGCTAAATTCTGCTTTATACAAACAACTACTGTTTCCCGTAACTTGCTGTGATACATTTCCAGTTTTCAGATAATATTTGCAAATCATAATGTTAATTCTAAGTGGTGCCTTGTTATAGCACTTGCGTTAAAGTGTTTTCTTAGCTAAAATAATTAAAACAACCCAGCCAGTAATTACATGATTAATTGCATAGCATACGCAAACTCTCCGACTTCAAAGTATGTTGCATAAAATGCTACACGTTTAACTAAGTACATTACTTACTATCCTGGAATGTACAATTATATAGTTGCAGTGAAGAAAAATTTATTCTCAGCTGAGTCATCAACTAGGTCCCATATTGTGTATTTAAAGGAAGTTGATGAAAACGTTCCAGAACTATATCCAGCCAACGATCAAGTTAGTAAGGTTGAAATTAAGGATTAGTGAAAGTAAAAATAACCGAAATGAACCGGAGGTTATAAAATCTTGTATTTGCCTTTGAATGACTTTTCCAAATCAAATATAAGCACCAGTCAAACCAGTCAAAAGAAGTGAGATCAAGGCATCTTTGGATAGCGCAGGCACTAGAGATACAAAACTTCAGGCCCATGTTGCGTTCCCAAAAGAAATACATCCAACCTTTGTCTCTTCCATGGTTATCATAAACAGTCAGTTCTGATTAGTGAATTTCCTACTACGTTTCTTATCCCAATTTGGACCACTATGCCTGCTTATTCGAACTTTCTGTCTACTTTGTTACTACAACATTTTTAGTCCCTAAACGTATAAGAAAGCCAATTTCCCCAGTAACTATGGTCCTCCCATGTTTTCATCTGAAATGCCTCTTTATTTTGTTATTAATACACTTTAATCCTTATTTTCAACCTTATTAATTTGACCGTTGGCCGGATATACTTCTGGAACGTCCTGATCAATTTCCTTTAAATAATCAAATATACAACCTAGCTGATGACTCCGCTGAAAATAAAATTTTCTTCACTGTAACCTTCTTTCTAATATTTCCTATGATGTAAAATATATATAAAGATAGTAATTATCTTTCAGTTATCTCTTGGACAGTAGTCAGGCATTAAAAGTGTTTTTCTCATTTTTGATTACAGCTTGATTCCACATCGTATTTTAGGTACAGGTATGGAACTTTCAGCATGTGATATCGGTAGCCCAAATTTTACAGGCCGACCATTGATATCAGGTGTGCGCCGGCAAGGGGTCGAACCCCGGACCATGTGCATGACCGGCGAGAGTCATAACCGCTGTGCCACCGAAGCACAGATTCTGCAAAACGTTTGTTGCGAAACTGCATCACCACTGATGAGCTTATACTACCTATAATATTCAGGGTTTTACTGTAATAATTCCTAAGTGCCTGTGAGATTCCAAATTCATCAAAAAAATAATGTAACATTTTCATTTTCCAATACTTCCTAATGATTTAGCCAGCTCTCTATAACAATGTATAACTATTCTAAAAAGAACCAAAAGTAGACTATTTTATGTCTTATTCTCTATGACATTCATATAATATGCATCAATATTAATCAGCAACCTATCGAAATGTGTCCTAAGAAAATAAATATGTAAAAATTCTTTTCAAGGGTATACTAAGAGAAAACAACAATTTAATTATGTCATTCTTAAAATAAAACCAATTTGAATGCAACCTCATCAGGGATTAGGAGTAGCTAAATTATGACTTCAAGACAGTCCCATATAAACGTAAAGAATCACTATGAGGAGAATAAATGAATGACGTCAATTGAATGAAATGTGATAGCCAATTTATTAGACGATCAGGTCAACCAGTATTATAGAGTTTTCTTTTAATCTGCTCGACACACAAAACTAGTGTTATGAAGTTTATCATTTTAGTGCATCGTGGCAACTACCTGTGATATGACTGGGAAAAATGATTAGAGACGTGTTAAGAGCTTGGCACTTGAGTAAGTTAGAAGTAAACCATCACTGAAATCTAAACTTTGTTTACGAGCTTTAATTAACATATATTCATGATAAAAACCAATCAGAAAACGAAAACATCCCAGACGTAAAGTGGAAATGATAGGGTTGTCAAACTGAGATAAATTTTTTAGGTCTGCTCAGAGTCCGTTAATTTAAGTCGAACTAAGCTAACTAACCTGCATTGAGTAAGTCTGCATCAACACATAACCAACTACAGTCATTCTTAGACAACATATAATCTTTAAAAATAAGATTAAGCGGAATTTTCTAAAAAAAAAGTGACATCATCTTTACTGGATTCACCCAACAAATAAAAGGTGAATCCCTACAAGAAAGTTAGGTGCGAAGTGTTATTTAATCACTTTCTGGGAATACAAAATGGCCGGTCGAAAAAAACTCAGGTGGTGTAGTCTGCTGTAAATATCCAATCAACTTAATTTCCCTCCTCATTCAGTGAAAAAGCCCTTTTAAATATGTAATCTATTACGAGACAGCGATTAACCAAAACCAGTTTCGGCCTGTGACAAGAATGAATTATTAGCTGAAGTGAGAATTGACTGCTGATGCGTAATACTCATCATAGTTTCATGTTAGTATCCTCTGGAATGGTAATTACATATAACAGGTATCAAACAGACAAGGCTAATAGATAGTTTTCTCTTAAGTGTATTTCAGTTTATTACACTCTACCAATTCCAAAACAGAACGTTTTTGAAGCTTTGCAATGAGAACGTATTTACGTCACTTCTTGAACTCAGGTGATTCTAAGGAGTTGACTCGTATCGAAGTGTTTAACTAAGCTTTAAAAACAGTTTAATTATTTCAAAAAGAATAACAACAATTTACAAACAGTGACAAGCCCTATAAGTTGATCACAGAAGTACTCACTATAAAACTTTCATTCCGGTTGAAAATTATTTCAGATTTCAATACAAAAAAACATTGAAGGCATGTATCAGTGAAATCACTTACACTATCAGAAATCATTTAGACTTTTTGACGTGCCATTAAATACTGAACAAAGAAAGCCAACAGTGCTCCTCATTATCAAATGTTCACGGATAATAGTAAAGCTTACAGATCTTAGGAATTCCAAAAAACAGCTTAAAACTTATATTGATATCCATACGCCTTCATATTTGATCAAGATTTGTAGGTCAGTCAAATTAAACCACTATCTGTTCAAGACATTACTTCATTAAAATAAGCATCGGTGATTGATTTGTTTTCATAAAAAGTCTTATTCTTCACTGTACATCAATCAAGTATGCTTATCACAAAATAATTCGGTGAGTCTGTGAAAACTATCTTCAGAACATTTAATCAGGTCATCGTACGATAATTGAGTTTATCACAGAATAGGTAGGTAAACGGTTGTATGTTTTGAAACGAAAGCAGAAACTTGATACACTGCAAATGTTTACTAAATGTACATTCACTGTAAAAATAAACAATGAATGGCAGTAAATATTTTTTATTACAAATTCAGATCATATATATATATACATATTTACTCAGACAGCTGTTGTATATTGATGTGAGTAATCGAGTTCCCAGGTCTATGAATAACACAATGTGTGGAATTGATTTTTTACTGTTACTGACAACAGTAAGCAGAATGACGTTTAGTCTTCATTTTTCTTGTATCACATTCCACCTTATATTCAATATTTGTAGTTATTGTTGCAGAAGATTGATAATGTATCAAGTATATGTAATAGCTAACATTTTCCTGATCTCCTACAAGTGCTTTTTTGGTGTTTATAAACCACTAAGCGTACCAACACTTCATAGATTTATACATTTAAATGCACATGAACTAGTGTTATGTGCTGGAAATGCTTAAATTTCTTAATGCCATCACAAACAGTGAGGGACTTCTGTTAACCTTTTGGTTTCTGTACGTCTAGAATTTATCTGTTCTCCATCCAGTTTTACATAACTAAATCAACTTGTGGTCATAAGAAAGTTATCTCTAGAGGGTAATAAATTTTCAATAGAAAGCCCCATATTTATGAATGTTCTGACTGAATTTACATAAATTTACATTTTGAAAAACTGTGCTACTATCAGTAGTATAGATATAAATATTAATGTTATAAATATGTATCAGGAGTCCAAGTGGGCACAGATTCAACTGTTCAGTGAGATGACCACAACCTCAAAGCTTAGATGCATATTATAATGTCACAGATCCTGTTTTGCAAAATCCATGTGAATATA